ATAGTCTGGAAAGGTTTTGAACGTATAGGTGGATCTATAGATTTAGATGATAGAAAAAGGAATGGCTTCAATTTACTTCAACGATGCGTAACTTTGAGAGATCAAGTAACTTTGAGAGATCTTTCCCTTGCAACCAGTTTAACCACTAATGATGAGAGATGTTAGAAAGTTGTCGATACTTGAAATAATTAATATTCTTCCAATACTCTATCAACTTGATCACGATGGCTACGTTCGGCTTAGTTGGAACCCATCATGATGTCGCTTATTGCCATCTTCACCAGGACAGCGGCAAAAACTCCCAGAAACACAAGTTGATTTCTTGGCAGTTGTCGCATTGCAACGTATTCTCTTTCTTAGGTTTATGAGCAGAATTCCTTTTTTTCCCGTCATATATTTGCTCTTTCTTCTATGCCAATGAATGAAAGCATTTGAAGATTCAGCCAACAGACTATTCGGGAGTTTTATTTGATTTAAGCTGGTGAATTATAGTGATTAAATGACTCGTGTTTGGTTGGTGATTCTCATTTGCAATCATGTCTGTAGTCATTTCGTTTGAGATTCAGCTTGCTTTTTTCTGAGTCGTATATCCTGAGTTATTTCATCTTGAGCAGTATTCAATATTCTTGAGCAGTTCTAAGGAGATTAAGGTTGTTAAAGTTATTTCATCTAGGTTTGACTGTTTCAATGCCTCAGCTTGAAATGAAACCGTCAAAAGACCTTGCTAGACGTTGTATTTCCACTTTCTCCATCCGGATCTTGGTTCTAACCTTAACCTGATATGATATTATTTCGCTTTCGCGTTTTACTTGGCTATATATTACGGAACAAGCGATATTTACGTAATTCGATATCTTATCTAGATATCTTCTGCAATGCTGATAATATGGGTTGCTAAAAGAGTACTCTTCAGCACAGTGCAATCATCATTGAGACACCAGTTCCCATACCTGCCGACCGTAGAAAATAGTATTCTCGGAGTATTCTCATGTTCTAAGCTCGCATTCCGATTTAAGACAATCGTAGTTTTTTCGGGAGAGATGCTGTTAGGACTTTCATCTCGGCACTGAATCTATTTTTATACAGATCACCCATGCAAGGCGTGTGATCATAGACAATTACGGCCAGGATATTAAAAAACTTTCCTTTGAAGCGGGCGCAGGCAAATCGGTTATTAAATAGGATAAAAGGTCTATAGGAAAAAAGTGAAAGTAAAAAGAAAAAATTTTTTTAGGAAAGAAAATATTTATTTCTCTAATTATAATTATATATATATATATATATATATATATATATATATATATATCCATTATATATATATATATGTATAAGCCATTTCTAGATAGATTGTCGAAAAAAACAGCTTTATGCATCAAATAATAAAATTATAATAAAATCTTAGTAATTATCACTGTTTTATAATTATTATTATTCAGTACAAAGATGAATTACTGAAGAAATCTTTAGCACTATATAAAAGTGATGTCAAGGCCAATTGGAAAATATGCTTCAAAATTCAAGCAAAAGGATTTATTATGGAGCGGCATATACAATGAGCGTTTGGTATGCATATTTCGATTAAATAAAATTTTTACGTTTATAACTTAAAAGACTTCTGAAAACTATTGTTCATATTTTATCTTTCCTTATGTTCGAGAAAAATCAGACCAAGAATTGTAACTTGTAACTTGTAAATTAACTGACAAATCTAATTATGTTTTTTTCAGCTTACAACCGAAATTAAACATGCTAGAAAGGTTTGAATTTTTTTATTTTCAATAATAATCCCAGTTATAAATCTCCGTTTGCGATATTTTTATTATTATTTATTCATTCATGAGAACAATCTTGACTTCAAAATCGGTGTTTATATCCATTTTGCAGAAATCGAGAATAAAGGAACTCGATGCAAGAGTGAGTTTTTTTATTTATTCAGCAAACTCCATTTTTATTTGAATCGGAATCGAATCATTTACAGTTGACTACAGCTCATTCTAATCGCTTCTACTTCGCCTGAAATTTCGATATTTTAAATAAAACCGAAATTTGATAAATTAATAAAATATAATGACAAATTTCTATTTTTAGTTAGTAAGTGAAAATTTTTTAACTTTATTCCCAATCAAATTTTAGAAGGAAACTTGTTCAATATACTAATTAAAATGGCCAAAAGTTTTAGAGAGAGATGTATGTAACGACGGTCAGTTATCCAGTGACATTAGGTGAGAGACTGATGGGAGTTGCTGCAGTAAATGTTCCTATAATAGAACTAACACAACTCGCACATACCTTTAATGTTAGTTTTTTGCTGTAATTAAAGCGAATGATATTGCTAATGTTTTGGCCAATTCGAACGAAAATGATTTAACATTAGCGTTTTTCTCAAATTTAATATACAGCTCCGTTTTTCTGGGCACTATCAGAAGCGAATTTTTTTAATCGGTGAATTTAGCTAGGAAGTCGAAGCTATACCTTTATGATGGACAATAATGGATATGTGATGTTCCATCCACAGCTTCGGCAAACGGTTTGTGATGCATAATTCGTTCTCCTTAATTTACATATGCTTAGTATTTCTTTTATTTTTAAATATGCAATTTTTGACCAGTTTCTCTTTTTATAAAAAAGAGATCCTAAAAATGAGTAATTTTTTTATAGCATTTCTTGTTTTTATATTTAGCAGAAAGCCTGTAATCATCTAAAGTGCTTTTACAAATTTAAATTAGAGCTTCAAAAATCATTCAATAGATGGACAAAAAAATGATTCCCATGAGGGAAATAAATGTGGTGCATATTATTATTTTCCACGAGAATTTTTTGCATAAAAGCTCGTCGAAAGTAATATTTCTGAAATTTCATAAGATTTATTTATGATTCAATAAATATAAATGAATAAATTGATAAATAAATTTAATAATAATTTAATAAATTTAAATAAATTATATAATAAATAAATAAATTTAATTTAAATAAATCTGAATAAATTTAAAAATTTAATGAATAACGCGATAATTTCTGATGAAAGAGCATATTCCGCCTGAGATATTTAAATTTTGGCACAATTTTGCTACATTTTTCCACATCATATTAATTTATTAATGAACTTAAAAGTTTTATGAAAATGTTTGAAGTATCGCGTAAATACAAATTCTGAATTGGCCTTATTGTGAATATGCTTTTAAGTTCGTAACTGTGCATGACTGTTGTGCTTGAGATAAACCCAACCCTTCGAAATATTTAAATATGATGTCTCTTGAAACTAGAAATGAGCTCCGAGTTTTTTTTTCCATTTTCAGAATTTCATTTTATAAGATAATTATTTATCGCAGGATTCACTTACTGGAAAATCGAAAGCAAACTATAACAATGTTGATATTCTTGAATTGGAAGTTCCTCAAAATCAGCAATTGGTATGTTCTCTGATTTTTTCCTATTTTTTATTTTTGAATTCCTCATTTTTTGAGGTTTGGTTGAAAATAACTGAAACTGGGAAGTCATCAACTGCTTGCAAAACTGATATATTCGATGCTGAATGTATTCGCATAAAAAGATGGCAAGTCAGTTTTTTAGTTGATTCAACTTGCTTTTGCTGTTTTCTACTTCCGTAATATTTTGCATATGCTTATGTTTTTATTGCTTTCTCGCTACTTATTAGCTTTTTTGGCTGTATCGAATGGTGTCGTTATGATTTTCTTTATTGTTATTCAGTAAAGATGGTTTTCCTCACTTTCGGATTTCATTTGACTTGTAGACCAACTTTTTTGAGTATATTATTACATTAGTGAGATTTTATTTGGTATTTCTCATCAAATTATTCAGTTAAACGCTCGTTGGACGATGAAAGAACAGGTATTTGGTATTCGACTGCTATAATTTCTCTTTCTCTTTTCTCTTTGACCAAAATGCATGTTTCCGTGCTTTAATTTATTTTGTTTCAATTTTTTCCATCACTTTCCTAATAATTTAGAATATTTTTTAATTTTAATTTTTAATTTTTTAATTTTTTAATTTTAATAATTTTTAATAGAAATATTTTTTAATTTTCTTTATTTTTGTGCAATTGCTCTATAAAATTTGGGAGTTGATTTTCTCTGATTTTCGGGGTTCAAGATGAAATTCCGAGAAATAATAAACTTTCCAATCGGTGATTTGGTGACAATGGATATCACCAAGAATGATTCGGCTCGGCAGGCTTATTGCTTCACCAGGTAGCACTGTCATCGAAACTAAAAGAAGGTAGTGTAGCTTATTGGGTTTTTCAGTTTGGAGCGCTGATTTTGAGGTTCCACATCCACATCCGACAGGAGTAAACCTGTCCTTCAAAAATCCGAGTAGCACTGGGCGACTAGCCTGAACTTCTTACTCCCTAGCGAAAATTGTCTGGTCCAAAATCCACCAGCCAAAAGAGCGAATCTAATAAAATAGTAGTAAACGCTTTTAGAAAAAAAATTTGCAGTTTCTCGCGTTTTTTTTGATACTTTCTTTTCAATTTTTAAAATACAATATAAAGTAAAATCTGAACCAGTAAAATTGGATATAAGATTATGGTGGTAAGATAAGATAATGAAACTTGTGTAAAGCGAGTTTTATCTTTTTTTCTTTCTTTATAACTTTATTTTTCAGTTTTATTTCATAAATTTGAAATTAATTATCAAAAAACTTCTTCAGTTCCTTTGATTATTTGTTAGTTGTTATTTTTATTTTAAAGTACAATGCAAAGTAAAGTCTGAATCAATATTTTAATTACTTTAATAATTCGTAGATGCGATCTGCGATGCTTAATTGTAACAATAAAGATACTATTACGTTGGATGTATTATATGCAACTCAAAATTTGGTTAGTAAATGTTAAATTACATAATTGGCCTTTAAAATTTTTCATACTACTTATGTTTTTGTGCATTTGAAATATTAAAAATTTAATGCTACTATTACTTCTTTCCTATTCTTCCTGTTCTTTTTTGCTTTCCTTTTGGTATTTAAATTTTAAAAAAAATCCAATGAATTGGGCCATTTCACAGGATCGAGTTTACAAGCAGTTAAATACATACTATGCCGAATGTATCGACGATACTCTGTTCACGTATAATTTTTTCTATTTAGAACCTTAAACAGAAATGGAACTATCTTAATCAAGATTGATTCATTCCAAAATAGAAAAATTTCGACTGACTATTTTCTTTTCAGCTATTATTTTTCAATAAATTTGATTATAGGATAGGTGTAGCGGTGGCAAAAGGAGATGAAAAGCGTATAAAACCAAGAAAGCCGATAGATTATGCGGAAATTGAATTATCTTGGTTTAAAGGATTAAATTGGAAAATGCATCCTGAATGGTTAATATTATTCTAAAAAAATTTACCTGTGAAATATTATTCTTGCCACAGTACTTTATTTTATCTTTTATATATTGTATTTCAAGGCGGTACTGCTTGCTAAATGACAGTGACTCTTCGCTTACTGCTGAAGAAGCATTTAGAGTATACGTAGAACAAATGCGACATGAAGGAGCACTACCTCGTCTTTGTGAATCTAGGCGACAACTCGTTGACAGATTCATTTTTGACATGAAAGTTACCAATGGACTGATCGATTTGTGGAATTACAATGCTAAAACGTGTAAGAAGTACGGTATAAGTTATTATTCTTATTATTCTTTCTTATTTTCAAATTTTTTCTTTATTATTAGATTAAAGATTATAGGAGGCAAATTCACATAGTTTTTTTGGCGACGCCTTCAGGTCTTATAAAATATTGGGATGAAATTCCTGAAGACCTAACTTATAACGATCCTAACTTGGTTAACATATCACAATCAACGAAATCATTTGGTACTCCATCCCAGCAACAAAAGTTGGTTTTTTTCCGATGAAATAAATTCTATCAACACTCACCATTTTTAATTTCCCTCACTCCGAATTAGTGTGTATCCTTCCAGAGAGAATTAGAAACAAAAGTATTAAGATAAAAGGGAGAGGGAATGCTCACAGTTTTACTGGCCTAATTCTTAAGCCACTCTCGTCCACTTATCAAGAAGCACGCATTGTTTTCCACTTTCGTTCAATACGCACGAACACCAACATGCAATTTACCTCCACATCAATCACCAACATACATACCATCCTCTTCATTCTCCACTTGTCAATAAAATCAGTCATGAAAAATCTTCGCAGTCACTTAGCTATGCTTTTGCTAAATCCATTTGTAGAAATCATTTAAACTCTCTATCGCTTTTATCACTGTTGCTAACTGCGAAACTGCAAAGGGTAAGTGGGGAATATCGAAGGATTTAAAGGAATTTAAAGATTCCAAGATTTAGGGAGATGTAGAGGAAGGATATAGGGATTTGATGGATGTCAGAACATCAGAACTAGAAAGGGACTCAAAAAGATGCAAAGGATTTTGGGGTAATTGTCGTGCCAGAGTAATTTGAAAATAATTCTACCGAGATCTCCTATTCTATTAATTTTTTTATGTTGTGCACATTGGAGGGATTCACTGAAACTATCTTATATTTTGATTTATAAATCAAACCATCTTAAATCCATTAAAAAGAAATCCAGTTTTGATTAATTTACGATCTTTATTTATTTTTTAATGAAATTATAAGAAATTCTTTCAGGTCGTATTTGCATTTAATTGAAAATATTTATCGTCGATCGATTGAAGACCCATATTATCGACGAGCAGTTCGTATGAAAAATCGAATTATTATCGATATTAATACCAAAAGTTTGTCGAGAAAATTATTAATTAATTTAATTTTTCCTCTCAGACGTATTTTTTATTTCGTGGAAAAAATTCGACGATTATTAATAAGTCATTAATAAGATAGATTCGATTCATTAAAAACAATAAAATAGGAATTATCATCAGATAAATTAGTTAAAATTGTAGTGTGAAACCTGTATCATTATAAACTTGTTATAATTGAACTAGTACTGCTATCTGTGCTTTCTCCGAATGACTGTGGGAAAGGTGTGTCAATCTAATGTTAGATGCAGCCAAACCAGAAATAATGGATGCTGTTCCAAGAAGATGAAGAAATAAATGAAAAGATTTCTGAGCGTCCTAGTGATAGCTTCTAAAATTGTGAAATATCATTGAAAGAAAGTTGAAATTTATCAATGTTATAGCTGATTTTTTTGATAAAATTTTGGCTGCTTGTTTATTCTTTAAATATTTCTTATTTTCACTGTTAAAATTCAATTAACAAAATTAAATTTAGCAAATTTATGGCACAAATCGGAATCTACTTCAACTTATGGCAATCAAGAAAATATTTCCGCCTTAATGACCGCAACTAAAGCTATATATTTGAATGGCGCGCTTATTGGTGTCACTGGAATAGAATTTACTGTTGATTTTTTTGGAAATATTTTGAAAAAAATCGGTTGTGGACCTCAGGTCGGAAATTTGTTTCCCCATCTTTAAAGGATAAAAAATTTGGAGCCATTTCAAAAATTTTTACCAACAACCTTAATTTAAAAAATAATTTAAAGAAAAATAACTTGTAAATTTATAAATTTTTGTCAATTTTTCAAATTTTTTTTTACTTTGAAATTACCAAATATTTCATTATTTACTGTAAGATTAGTGACGCTTTCAAATTTTTTAGGACAATCGTCAAATATGTATTCTGCTGGACGAACATGGCTATGTAGTTTATACTAGTTTAAATTCCACTCGATACAGTCGTCTTTTTTCAACAAATAATGATTACGAGTCGAATTGGTTGGGAAGATGGTTTGGTAATATCAATCGTATCACTGAAGCGACAATGAGTCTTTTACTCAAAAATAATTATTATACTGAGTAAAATAATTAATTTGACAATTTTGATAACTAATATCTTATTATAAAATTAAAAATTTGCTTCATACTCGCTGCTGTGATAGGCCTTCATATTATATGGCTTCTGTGTTTAATTTAATCTCGTGACATTGGCTATTACTGTTTATAAGTGTTCGGCTAATTAAAGTTTTTTAATCTTTTTTTCCAGGACTATATATGTCGATTATCAAGCAGTTTGTAATCGCGATGTTCTTCTTATTCAGGCAGCAGGCGCCTTAAGGGTATCTAAGCATTTTCTGCTTTCTTTCATTCATTTTCTATAATTTTTTTTTCTTTTTTTACAAATTCTCTCTCTAAAATATTGTTTCTAAAATATGAATGTAATTTTAAAATGTAATTTTCATGTTTTTTACTTTATATTTGAGTTCAAAAAAAAGAACCAAAAATTTTTTTCTGGGTTAACGCAAAAATCATCTATTATTTTAAAGAGTTTTTTATCTTTTTTAAATTTTATATATATAAATATATAATTATTAGTTATGGCTTTCTAGAATTTCTAAGTTTACTCTTTTTTGAGTTATTTTGACTTCTCTTTTGAAATTTTAAATTTTTATTGTGGAATTCTTAAATTCTTTTTTGTCCTTTTTGTGTTGTGTTGTTTATGTTGCATTAATTTCTAAAATTTAGCCTGTCTTATCAGTTATAAAATCTGTACTATGGATTTTCACCCGATTATGGGCATTACTCAAGGAATTCGCTATCATGCAGCTCGTCGGTTCGCTTATCAACCCAACTATCGGTATAATCTTAATTATTTTAGGATCTCTAAGTTTTACTTTTTAATGAGACTGGTATTTCAAATAGATTATTTAGCTCAAAAGTATTGCGAATTTTTTTCTTAAAAAAAATAAAAAGGCTAGCAAGTTCGAGAAACTGAATTTAGTTCCGGAAGATAACAGATAGAACTATATCATATTTACATTTCATTTTCTTTAGACCAATATGTACTTATACTAATATTTTCCTTTTGAATCAGCAGCAATTATGTTTAAATTTTATTCAAATTTAGCTTATACATCCTTGTTCACTGAAAGTGAAGATGGTTTCGCATGTGATAAAGCATCCACTTTCTTCTTGGCGAATTGGGGTGAAGATGGTTGGATGGGGCCACGAATACCAGATACAGCATCACTTATAAGTGATAATCTTGCCGAAAGGCCTTGTAAGCAGAATCCAGCGAAATGCGCTGTGTATGTTGCTTTATTAAAGCGGATTTAAACTTCAACTTGCGAAATTTTAAATGATTCTAAATGATTTTTTTGATTCAATGATTTTAAAATCCACTTTCCATTTTTTCTTGGAATTTTAAATTTTAAATTCATGCTCACATTTTGTTAAATCTTTAAATCTTTAATTTGAGTTTTAGCCAAAGTATTCAGGAAAATGTATGCTAGTTGGGTAAATGGCACAAATTTATTGCTCGTAGTTATTGTTCAAAGTAGGACATCATCAAGCGTTTGCTATGATAAAAACCAGTGTCCTATGATTTCGCCTCCAGAACTTCAATTCGCATTTACTCAAGTCTGTTTTAAAATTCAGTTATCTTTTCTGCCATTTAATTTTCGTAGTTTTTAGGCAATTGGTAGATAAACTTATAACTTCTTGATATTCACAAAATAGCTACTATGATTGCGATAATTATAATAATTATATAAATGATTCAGTTATGTTATTAACAATTTGCATTTGTTTATAAAAATATCGAAAAGTTAATATCGATATGATCCGTAAATTTTGTGGGATTATATAGTAAAGAATGAACAAACAACTGAAAAATAATATTAACTAGAGTTGTCGATCTTTTGAGCTGAATTTTTGCATATTATTCGAAAATATTATTATAGATGCTTGATAAAGCTTGGTCATAAGTTTATGCAATATTTCTTTTCTCTTTTATTTATTAATTATTTTTATATTTCATCAATTACTAAGGTAATCCCACCATGAAATTCGTACTTCCAGGATTTGGTTAACACTCTTGGTTTAAAATTATTACTTTTTTATTCCGTATCGTTGAGGCAGCAATGTAACTGCATTAAGACGTAAGAAATTCCTTGCTGGAATCTTCAAATTCTAGGTGCACTCAGTTTTTTTATTTTTGTAAATTGTTTTTGTCTCTATAAAAAACAATTGGGTGAAGTTTGATTAAAATTGAATTGAATTGGATTTAGCGGACTGTGGATTGATACTTGCCTGCCACTTTTTAATTATAGTTTGTTCCACAATAGTTGAACTTTAGGGCAGTGATATCTAGTAAACAATTTCCTCGAACAACAATTTTATTCGTAATCTCAGCCTTAAACTTCGGTAATTAAACCAAATATGTATATATATAAATATATATATAAATATATAAAATGTCACACAAATCACAAAATTATAAAATATACAGAAATATTTGCTGTAGTAGGTCGTGTCGTGGCAAACATAGCGTAAAGGAAAGATTTGGGAGAAACTTATATTGTTTAATGACAAACAAAAGAAACAAGTGCATAAAAAAATTTAAAAATAGGTAGCCGATCGCCTCAAGACAGTCCGCATAATGTTTTGAAAGATTAACGAAAATCAAATAGAGGAAATTGTCGCAATTTTAAATGAGGTTTATTTTTCGTTAAGAGCGTCAGCAGTGAAGGATTAGTATTTCAGGACACTTCCTTTCATATAATTCTATGTAATCACTAAATGTGAATTTTTCCTGGAAAAGTCAATTTGGAATTCGGTCTTTTTCTTCTTCTAATAACTCTCCATTATTAATTAGGCTGGCTCCGCTTGCTACAAGGGTAAGACATTTCCAAGCTGTTCGATTCGACACAGTTCAGTCGAAAATTTCAGATTGATAATATATCTGATAAGCAACAAGCAATGAGTATGGAACCCTCCGATCCATTTTCTAATGATATTGCTGATCGATATTGTCGTCACATACGAGCTAAGGAAAGAAAATCGCCTTCAATATGTCTCCATACAAATGATGTAAATTATATTATTACCGAACATTTTCTGCAATATTCTGCTCATTTTTCATATTTCATATTAATTTTCAGATTATAAAAAAATATATGATAATTAATAAAGTTTTGGAGAAAAAAGGTAAAGGCAACCGGTAATATTTTTAGGATGAATCGGATTTCTCATGTTCAAAGACGACATTGGCTGTACCATCACTTACTTTATTCTTTTTTTCAATTGTTGGTATTGTTCATTAAGAACCAACAATTATCAGTGATACTCATGGGTTTATCATTAATTCTGTGATATAAACTACCCTAGCTCGAACTATTTAATTTATGAATTTTTGGCTTACTTTTCATTTTTATTTTGTATATTTATGCATTTTGTGGCACAATTTAATGCCAGTTTGATACCTAGAAGTATAAAATTAAAAGTCAAAATAAAGAGAATGAAGTCTCCAACATTTTATTATTGGTTCTCGTTGTATGCTGGAGTGCAAAGATCGCAAACACTAAAAAATCGCTAGCAAAGTCATTCCTACATGCAATATTGCGTGCAAGAAAGTGCAGTTGCATTTCAAAAGGATTTCCGGATTTAACGATGTGGCGAAATAAAACGAGAAAGTTTTGTTGCTTCGCTCGAAATAAGTTTAAATTAAGTCCAGTTTAATTAAATTCAAGTTCAATGGTAAATTTGGAGGTATTGGCACTGAAGATTTTGAAGCAATGTTTTTCGGCATAATTTGTTTGCTTTTAAAAATAAAAAAAATTAATTCGTCATTTAGAAATTTTGTAGCTTCCAGAACGTAAAATATCGTGTTTTATGTTGAACTTCTCTAGAAATCCACTTCTGGTAAGCGAGGAAAGATTTAGGACGTAATAAATTTATATTGAATAAAATTGTTAAACGCAAAAAGTTTAGGGACTGGCACTGCTATTCCTCAAATTGTCTATCAAAACAAATGTTACTAACAGCAAATCACTGCACCGTCTTAGTGATTATTTTAAAAATCATGAAAATGACCGTAAAATGTGTCGATCAATTGGAATGGAAACGTAGAATATTAAATGATTTCAAGATATATTCTCGAATAAGAATTCATTTCGTCTAAATAAAGACCAACAATTTCATTTGGTTAATAAAAATTGTTTAAGTTTTGTAAATAAGTAAATGTTTCATTCGCGTTAAACTTTTGTGAAATATTATGACTGTAATTAAATGAAATAAGCACTGAGATCTCGCTCGCTGTAATAAAGTTTTAACTTTCCGGCCATCTAAAAGGTGGCCGGGAAGCAGTGAAATTTTCAGAGCATTAGAGAGCGTTTCCTTTTCATATTTGCTTTCTCTTATATTTGCCATGCATTAACGTATAAATTCCCTGCATTTTTCTGGATAGCTTATCAACGGATAGCAAAATGCCTGATTTTTATAGCCAATGAATTCAATTATTTGCGTTAAATATTTTACATTTTGTGAATTTATAGAAATTTTAGAATTTATATTATTGCATTGAATAAACCGAAAATAAATGAGAAGAGTTCAAATAATAAATCTACAATAATCTACATTGTGGTACAAAAAATGGTACTTAATTGAAACGTACACAAAGCAAAAAATTTGGGCAAATCTTTGCTATCTCGCAAATAACACAAGTTGCACAAGAAAATGCCTTTTTTTCATTTCATTTACAGCAAAATTTGAAAATAAAAAAAAGGATGACATTTCCTCCGCAAATTTTCACAATTTTCGAGGATTTATTCCGTTTACAAGCAATAACATGGTCGTAAGTTAATTATAAGTTTTATTATAAGTTGACTATAATCGTTATTTATTTTTCTGTAAGTCTTTTTTTTATCTATTAAATATCGATTTCTATCCTGTGGGATTTCAGTAAATTTCAGTAAATTCATTTTTATTTAAAAATACAAATATAACACAACGTTGAATTACGTTGCACATACTTAAACAGCCAAAATGATAAACTAATAATATCTTTTAACTGCTTTAATCGTTTTGCCAGAGGACCACTTGTGAGCATCTCTGGATTTCGCTTTTAATGGCAATTTTACTCTCGCAATGGAATAGAAATCGAAACCACGGTTAGCTTTAGCCTGAGCAGTGTAGTAGCCGATGTTCTGCCTCCTATCTGATGCGCCTTTACTGTAGATTGTAAATTGAAAGATATGACACATGGTTGAAACGAAAAGGCGTTGTAGCTTTGAGGCAGCCAATTGCTACAACTTCGTTTTTACCACCTAAATCTATATTCTCTTGAATAAAGGAAGGCGAAAAAAAGCGAAACTAGACATCGAACTTTGTGAGATTCAGGTTGAAATAGATAATTCTGGTTAAAGAAACTTTCCCGATAAATTTTCCGACGACCTATAGATTTGCACGCAAATGAAATTTTGTTTTTGAAGACCTCTCATAATAGGTTTCGAAAATTTAATGCATCTTATTATTATTATTATTATTATTAATATAAATTAGAAATTCAATATATAAGAAGCATTTCGATAGGAGAAATAACAAATTCAAGATCGGATTTCTTCTTCACTGGCGAATAAAATTTATCGCAATATCGGTTTTTGCAATAAATCGCATTTAAGCACTTCCTATTGATTCAAGTTTGGCACATTTTGTATTTTGTTCGTTTAAAGCTTTTTTTTGATGACCGAAATTCAGTTTTAACTTTTTTTTGGAAAATAGTTTTCGAAAATTTAGAAATTGCTTTTGAGAATTTCTTGATGGTAATGCTTCAATTTTATTCTAATAACTTTCGCTGAATTCCAGATTTATAATTCCAATTTTTAAGTGTGGAGCGCTTAAAGGTGTGGAGAGCGCTTGCTGTTTCTGGTTAGATTAGCTTCACTGGCTTGCCAGATTAAATGGACTTTGCAAGGAATTATGTGGTGATAGGTCACCAGTATGTGGATTTCTTGCTGGAAGAGCAACTTTAGCACTCCAGAACTAGAGCAGTAACCCAATATAACCCAATGAACCTCCCACTGTACCACTCGATTCTGAGTGAATAGTAGAATAAACATTCTAGTTGAACAAAGCTGATTAAAATTGGAATGGAAATGGCTTTATTTTAATTATTAAAGTCGAGCTGAATTGTATAGCCTTAATTCTTCCTCGTATATTCTTCACTAATTATAGTCCTATCATCTTCAGAAAGGAAGAGACTGCTTCAAAAGGATATAAATAAAGTAAATAGAAGTAAATGATAAGGTTACTGCTTATGACTTACACCTTGCATCCATTCTAATAAATTGAATTGCAAATAAATGAATGAAATAATAAATACCAACAATTTATTTAACCATCATGAAGATATAAAACGAAAAACATTTGTTTGCTTTTAAATGTGAACTTTGGAAAGCAGCCTTTTTCACTAGACGAATAACGCATTTTTGACTTTTCATTGTTACTGGCCGATTTAAAACTAATCCATGTAGTTCAGTTGATGAATTTCAATCCGAGGTTATTGGTGTAAGCAAATTCTTTTTTAATTAATTCATTAATCTTAGCAGAATGAAGAAAAAAAGCGTCGAAATAGATGATCAAACAAGTAAAGATAATATTGTAAAAATAATTTTCTACCAAATTTTAAGGATTTC